CTTCAGCCCTTCTGAGGCTGCACACTCATGAAAATTGCCGTATCTGAATCCGGGGTTGACATGTACACACGACTGTGTTTAGAATGGATAACCGAGACATCCCTGGCGGCGCAGTGGATAAGAATCCGCCTGCCATGCAGGGCACACGGGTTCAACCCTGGTTTGGGAAGATTCCACACGCCACGGAGCAGCGAAGCCTGGGAGCCACGGCCGCGGAGCCTGAGCGTCGCAGCTGCGGAAGCCGCGTGCCCAGAGCCGGGCTCCGCAGCGAGAGAAGGCTCCGCGGTGAGAAGCCCGCCCTGCGACCAAGAGGCGCCCACCCACCGCCGCTGGGGAAAACCTGTGCCGCGGCAGAGACCGGCCGGACACCTAAAACGTGGGCAGCCAGCAAGGACGCACGCTATGGCACAGGGAATTCTGCGCAATGTTATGTGGCAGCCTGCATGGGAGACGAGTCTAGGAGAGAAGGGATGCATGTGTATCTGGGGTTGACCGTCTCTGCTGTCCACCCCAAATTATCACAATATTGTTAATTGGCTGTACACCAATATAAAAAGCAAGGCTTTAAAAAATTACCCTATCTTTGCTATTCTCCTCAGTTCAGTTCAGTTGCTCAGTCATGTCCGACTCTTGGCGACCCCATGGACTGTAGCAGGCCAGGCTTCCCTGTCCATCACCAACTCCCGGAGTTTACCCAAACTCATGTCCATTGAGTTGATGATGATGCCATCTAACCATCTCATCCTCTGTCGTCCCCTTCTCCTCCTGCCCTCAGTCTTTCCCAGCATCAGGGTTTCTTCCAATGACTCAGTCCTTCACATCAGGTGGTTCCTATTTTCTTCCAAATCCTCATACAGTTTCTAACCTTTATGCTCCTAACGTCTCCTATCTTCTCTACCTCTTTTCGGTAGGACCAAATTCAGAGTGCCCTCTTTGTCTACATGGGGGTGAAATCTGTAAAATAAAACTCTGCTGAGGTCATTACCTTGTCTAAAATCTTCCACCAACTTCTTGCCATCTCCTGGGAGGAACAACTTCCTGGCTTCCCTTTCAGGTCTCCATCACTGCATGAGGAACCACCCCCAAACCCAGTGGTTTAAAATAATAGCCACACACTTTCTCACAACACTGGGACTCCTGGTGGCATCTGCAAGGCTCACTCACGTGTTCTGTTTGTTGGGTGGCAGATCAGCTAAGGACTGGCAGGCCCCAGATGACGGTTGCCTGGGGATGCCAGCCAGCATGCCTCCCTTCTCCTCTTCACGGACACTACAGTGTGAGGAGGTTGGCAGGGAAATGCTCTGGAGGCAGCTGGATTCCAAGAGAGTCAAAGTGAAAGATGGAAATGCTTCCTGGGGCCTCAGTTCATCACACAGTCAGCCATTCTGCACCCTATGGGTCAACGTAAGTCACTAGAGCAGCCCAGATTTGAGAGGTTGGAGGGAGAGTTTTCTCCTCCTGAAAGAACAGTAGCAGCAGTCGTATGTGACTAAAGGGGAAGGAGGAATTTGTGGACAGACAGTAAACACCCTGCGCACGCAAGTTGAGTTGTGAACTTCCAAAGATGCAAATGTGACCCTGTATGCCAACTGTTGTACTGTACTAGTGTACCTTTCCAGGTACAGTACTGTAAGACTAATAATGCTTGCTTTATTTTTAATGTGCATATTACTTGTGTGAAAGCTATTATATTATAAACCCTTTATAGTTCAGTACTGTATAGCCGATCGTGTAACTTGGGTACCCAGGCTGACTTTGCTGGAGTTATGAATAAATTGGACTTGAGGACGTGCCCTCCGGACTCACTCATATGTAGCGGACTTGCTGTGTTTTGCAACTGACCATACCTTGCCGTGTGTCCTCCCCGACCTACACTTGCTGACCTCTCCTCGCGTGTCTCCATTACTCTCCTGAAACGATGCTCTAGACTTGGCCACATAATAGTGATGATAACCAGTACACAGATACAGTCTTTGAGGACTTTGTCCCAAGCACTGTAGCCAAAGTTGTGCGTGTACCACTGTGTATTTCATCCTCCAGATTCCCTATCATGGAGGTATTTTTGTTCCCATTTTAGGGTCAATGAAATTGAGATATTCAGGAGCTTAACAGGTCTCACACGGAAGAACCTGAATTGGGATTCAAAGTTAGATATGCTTGATTCCAACATCCATCAAGTTTTTACTCTGCCACACAGTCACACCACAATGCTTGCCTTATTTGTTGTGTACTCACATGCCTATGTGACCCTCACAGGCCTTTCCCTCAGGCAGAAAAAGCCTTGCTCACTCTTCTCTCCTCTTCCTTTTCCTTCCGTCTCCCTCCCCACTCACCATGGAAAAGCACACACGTGACACTTCACAACAGTTCTCATTTCCCCAGGCAAAGTTAGATGACCCACTTCAGGATCCAATAAAACCCCTTTGCTTACTTTTTCCTTCTTCTTGACCATTTGCTCCTTATCTTATTTATTTTTGCATCTCCCTGACCTAGTATAGTCCTCAGCTTATAACCATTGGTTGATAAATGACTGTTGAATGGAATTTTCAAAAGCATGCTAACTTTACACACTATTATATATAAGATAAATAAACTATTATATAAGGACCTACTGAATAGCACAGGGAACTATAGTCAATATCTTGTGATACCCTATAATGGGAAAAAAATCTGAATAAATACTTATCTATCTATCTGAATTGTTCGGCGGTACACCTGAAAGTAACACAACATTGTGAACCAACTCTATTTCATTTTTTCAAAGTGCACAGCAAGCAGACTAGAAGGAAATGTAATAAAAATAGAGTTAATATATGAAGGGGGATCGAGGCATTAGGTCATTTTATTTTCTATGTCTACTTTATTTTTCAAATTTTCTATGATGAACATGTATTGCTTTTACAATGGCTAAAATAAATTTGATAAAGAGAAAAACACATGCTAACTTTGTTAATTAAGATGATATTCAGACATATTATTAATTCCCATTGAAAAAAGCAATCAAGTGAGTCAAATGGTCAAAGCAGCTGTTCATGTAGAGTTTCAGGAAACCTTTTGCAAGTGCCAATCTCACCAGGCCGTTCATTCATCCAGTTATTGGCTTATTCAGGTTCTTGTGTACAGGACACTGTGTACTTTGACAAGACATGCATGCACTTAGTTACTTATTAAGAAAATTACCAAATGCAAAAGTTAACCAATCTTATGTTTAAATGTCACTCGATTCTGTTGTGGTTTGATTTTATAATCAATACTGTGATCTACACTACAGGTTAGCTGGCTTGGCACTTTTCTTGATTACCTTCACCATCAAGGCTATAAATACTATATACTTACTTTCTCAGTCTGTCTTGCAGATACGGGTAGTCATGTAACACAGTTCTGTTCAATGACACATAATCCGAAGTATGAATCTTTTCACAGTTTTTGTGAAAAGTTTCTTCTTTAAATAAATCATAGACCCAGCTGGCTTCATGCCTGTCTTCCTTCTTGCTGCTATGAGTAGAGACATAATGTCAGGAGCTGCAGCAACCATCCCGAGACTATGAGAAATGAGCATGATGCTGAGCATGATGCTAAGCATGGGACAGTATCCAGAGAGGGTGAGCCTAAATCCTCCATGATACACTGGAGCTACTGCACAAGCCTCCGGGCAATCTATATCCAGCCTCTTGCAAAGTACAAAAGAAAACACTGCTTGTTTAAACCATTTTTGTCAATTTTTCTTACTTGTAGCCAACTGCATCCCTGTATAATACAAATAGAGTTTGACAATACAATGTGGAAATGGCCTAAAAGGAGAAGTGCTAATTATAGTTAAAGAACAATAACAACATTACTGCAACATAAAGTCTTAGAGGGCAGGGATGTTTGTTTGTTTTCATTTTATTCACTGTGGTAGCTCCAAAATTCAGAACAGTGACTGGCATGTAGTAGGCATTCAATTAGTGTTTGCTGACTGAGCGGTAGCATTTATGTTTGGAGAGTTGCCCCCTCAATTCTGTGTCCTTCCTTCACTTCTGCAAGATGCATTTTCAGCTGCATGTCTTAATGGTTCTCTGAAACCTGACTCAACCACTAAAAGTGTCCTGAAGCAAAAATTTCCTGCAACCTCAGAAGGAGTCAAAGAAATGAGTCAGAGGCGCCCTATAAATATGGTGAAATCTTACATTCACTTTATCAGAGGATACTGGAAAGGGACCTGAACTCTCAGCTCCTAAGAGCTGTGTCATATGTCTTACCTGGGCTCACCTGCTGCCTGACTCCATCTGCCTGAATTGCTCATTCCACCTTTCAAACAGGATGGGATCAAATAAGAGGGCTGACCTCAAGCACCAAAACGTGGCCATAAAATTTGCAGTTTATTGCCTCCTATCTACCTGCTATCATCAGGGAGATGTTGGAGGTTTGTGAGGCAGAAAAGTATTAATTGTTGAGTTCTTGGCTTTTATGCATCTGTTCAAAGGTACTTTCCCATCTTTCCCATCCAATATTCCCTAAAGGACCAAAAAGATAAAATGACATTTGGTTGAATTTCCTTCTTAAATAATTAAACATGACTCATCTTTCCTCCAGCCATGTGCAAGAGATATTTCAAAGGGAAATTCTTCCTCCTATCGATCTGCTCTGACAAGAACATCATTTTGACTTTCAGCACTCAGTTTATCTGTGAGAAAATACCTGTGGCATGTACAGTTAATCATAAGCTGTCACTGTGAGGATAACAATGCTGATGTAATCAACTGATTTAAAAATAACTAGCATGAAATTCACTCTCCTATCAAAAATTAAGTTGTCACCCTCTGGAAAAATATTATCAGAATCATTACTATTACTATTTTTCCTGTTTAAAGATTTCTAGGATTGCCCTGATGGTCCAGTGGTTAAGAATCCACCTGTCAATGCATAAGGCATGGGTTCAATCCCTGGTCTGCAAAGATTCCACGTGCCTCAGGGCAGCTAAGAGCATGCGCCACAGCTACTGCGCTTGTGCTCTGGGGCCCGGGAGCTGCAACTTCTGAGCCCACGTGGAGCAACGACTGAAGCCGTGCGCCCCAGAGCCCGTGCGCCCCAACAAGAGAAGCCCCCGCAGTGAGAGGCCCTCCGTCACATCTGGTGAGTAGCCCCCGCTTGGCAGGACTCAGAAAGCCCACACACAGCAGTGCAGACCCTCACGGCCAAAAACAAACTAAAAGAAAGAGTTCTAACGAAAAGATTCGCTGTGATTCTTTAAAACTATACTTTGTTACTCTTCTTAACTCTGTTCCTCTACTGAAAGTGATACCAGATGTGTGACTTCAAGTGGATTTTGGTGTTTTTCCAGTCCTGCCTGTGATGTCCAAGGGAAGAAATCATTCTCCCGGGAACAGTCTAAACGAGTCCAACAATTTGCCTGAGGAAAGCCTGAAGAAATAGGCTATTTTCACTTTGTTTTTAAAAATAGAAAATGAGGCTGTCCGAGTTCAGTGTCCCTGAACATGTCATGTCTCAGCCCAAAGACATGAAGTCCTAAGTTTTTTCACAAGAATTAATTCCACCAGGCATATCTTACTTTGTTGCCCTCGGCGCAGACACAATGTTTTGTTACAAATTGAAGATTTGTGTCAGCCCTGTATCAAGTAAGTCCTTTTTCCAGGGCATTTGCTCACTCTGTGTCACACTTTTAAAAAATATTATTATTGAGACTATTTTTTTTTTCTTCCATTTATTTTTATTTGCTGGAGGCTAATTACTTTACAACATTGCAGTGGTTTTTGTCATACATTGAAATGAATTAGCCATGGATTTACATGTATTCCCCATCCCGGTCCCCCCTCCCACCTCCCTCTCCACCCCATCCCTCTGGGTCTTCCCAGTGCACCAGGCCTGAGCACTATTGAGACTATTTTTAAAGAACAGTTTAGGGTTGACAGAAAAATTAGGGGAGAGGTACAGATTTTTCATATATTCACTGCTCTGTGTCACAGTTTGATAATTCTCAAAATATTTCCACCCCTTTACCTCACTGAAGGCGCAGATAATGGCTTACTCTTTTTTTTTTTTTAGCAGTAAGGTATTTTTAACTAAAGTTCATACTTTTTTTAAACATAATGCTATTGCATACTCCTTATACTAGAGTATAGTGCAAACATAACTTTTCCAGCACTAGAAAACCAGAAAATTCATGTGACTCACTCTATTGCATTATCCACTTTATTGCCATGGTCTGGAAGCCAACCTACAGTATCTCTGAGATTTGCCTGTTTGGGGAGGCATTTTTAGTTCTCCATTTCCTTCTCTCTTCGGAGCTCAGGAACTCTCATAAGTACAACAGCATGCATTGACATTTTTCCAAATAGTGCCGACTGTTAGTTTGAGAACCAGATTTGGCAGTTATTTGCCTCACTGAGTCCTCGCTTTTGTCTTCCATTTGGGATTTTCACCACCTTGCACACGAGGCACCATACCTGACTTTGGAGAATTCACACTGGATTTGCTTCTGCAAAGAAGTAATTGGATTCCTCTATTGACTTTTGAACCCTGTTCTAACCTCAACCATCATCCCTTGTCTAGCCCAACGGACATCTGAGCTTGGTTTATGAAGGAAAAAATGAGGGAGAGGCAGATCAGGGTCAGGAGGTAATGAGCCACTGGGATCAGGTGGGGGCAGCTTGAGCATTTTTCACAGGACACTGAGCAGGGATGAAGACTCAAGGGCATCTCTCAGAGAAGAGCAGAGCTGAGGACTAAATCCAGGGCTTGGCTCCTCAGAAGCCTCAGGGGCCATCATTGTCTTGCAGAAAACGTTCCCAGCTGGGCAACTGGCCCGGTTTATGGAAGGATAAAGCTGTTTATGGTAGAGAAGTGCTGACAATTATTTTATACCCTTGAAAAGGGCATTAGACACAATCTATGAAGCAATGAAAAGTATGACTATTTCAGAGATTACCTCCCAAGCTTGGCTTCCCAGGAGTGCCCCCTTTCACAAGTCTGTGGTTTATGCTCCTGTGGATGTGGAGGTTGGAACACTATTCTGGGGACTGCCAGCAGCAACAGTCAGCTTGGTTGCGTTCATGCTCTTGAGTGTATAGAAGCAGTCATAAAATCTGGCTTCTTGCTGGGAAATGACACCTGATATGGAGCTGTCCCCTAAGGAGGTGTTGAACATAAAAATTCAATGGAGAGGAAGAAGTATGAGTTCAGCTGAGTATACGCACCAGACTGGAACTGGCAGAAGTGAACTCGTTAATGACCTTTAAATAGTCTCCCCCGTGCTCTGCTGGGAGATTGACTTGGAGCTTGGTTAGGGGATAAAGACCTCTCTAGAGCCTACATCAACAACAACAAAAAAAATCATGAAAGATATATAAAAGAATGTGTGCGTGCATGCTAAGTCACTTCAGTCCATATAAAAGAATATCTGATGTGTATTTAGTATTTGTGAAGAGCCAGGCCCTGGGTTAAGTCTTTTTCAGCACTCACAAGTAGGTTCATGATTAAATCCTTGGAGGAAGATACAGTTATGAACCCCATTTTATAGTGGAGGAAATTGAAATTTTAAAAAGCCAACTCGCCAATAAATGGCTCTGCCAGGTCTGTCTGATTCTAGTGCCCCCCAAACCTGAACCTGATAGACTGTGTTGGATTTTCACTTGTAATTTCAAAGTCAGTCATTATACTAAATAAAATGAAAGGAAAATAATGTGGAAAATGCAGATAATCATTGAATTCCAAAGGGCAGTTTATAAACACAAATTCTGAGCTATCATATTAGTCATCCAGCAAGGCTTCAGTTGCACATAGATTCAAAGAAATGTAAATGTTTGTTCCACACAGCAATTAATTTCAGAATAAAGAGTAAGTTTGTCAACACGATAATCTTTCTCTTAAAGTCCTGATTTTTAGAAACGCAGGCGTTGTGCTCTCTCCGTTGTTTTGCATTTTACCAAGATGCTCAGGGGCCTCCTGCTGTAACACAAGTTCCCTTCTCCTGTCTATTCAGGGGTTTGGATGAGCTGGTACAGATAGAGATACACTTTCTGGTCAGGACTTTTCTTACTAAGAGTTATTTTAACTCATGTGAGTAAACGGGTCAAAAATTTCTCCCAGGAAAAGTATAGGGTGCTTTGGTGGGAGGCAGCTTGCAAATGCTAGATCTTAGCTCAGTTCAGTCGCTCAGTCATGTCCGACTCTTTGCGACCCCATGGACTGCAGCACACCAGGCTTCCCTGTCCATCACCAACTCCCAGAGCTTGCTCAAACTCATGTCCATTGAGTTGGTGATGCCATCCAACCATCTCATCCTCTGTCGTCCCCTTCTCCTCCTGCCTTCAATCTTTTCCAGCATCAGGGTCTTTTTCCAGTGAGTCAGTTCTTCGCATCAGGCAGCCGAAGTACTGGAGCTTTAGCTTCAGCATCTGTCCCTCCAAATCTTAAAGTGTTGATATTTATTTTTCCCACTAGAGGGCAGTGCTTGAAAGGATTACAGTCCTTACCTCTGAAGTTAGTACAACGGACTGGAACAAACCCTAGCTAGTATTGTTACTTCCCCTAACCCACGCAGAGAGAACATACAGATTTTATTTCTTTGAAGGAAAAAGGAGAAAGAAATATGTTTGCTCTAACATGACGCAGAAATCAATGATGATGCTGCCTTAACTTGCTGAGCTTGGAGAAAGAGAAACGCTAGTAAAATTTAATACTCTGAATCATCAAAGGATAAATGGAAGAAGACATCTTTATAAACGTAAGTGAAATCCTTTTTAAAGACAGAATATTGCGACCAAATACTCAGAAAAATAATCTCTGTTGCTTTGGTTTGATTATCATTAGAATTTACTGGAGTGAACAACTGATTTCAATAAGCATCTTTTTTCTTTTGTCAGTATAATGGTCACACAGGGTATATGGTGCAAAATACAAGCTCAAAAAATACAGATTATGTAATGGTTAAGCTTTCCCCTTTGAAAAAAGGATGAGTGCTGAAAGGGCAGTAGCTGGTACTCGAAGATGGATTTAAAAGCTGTAGAGATTTGCTGAGAACCCTTGGGTTACCTGCTTGAATCTTCCAGAGAGTCACTCATTAGAGAGGCTGCCAAGGTGGGAGCATTGTTTCCTTAAACCATAATTAAAGCCCATTGTTCTTGGGTCTTGACCTCTGCTTTAGCAAGGATGACTGGGACCCTGAGGCGTCCACTGAGAATTCTTACTTCTCAAAACAGTCTAGTGGGGACGGGGGACGGGAGGGGTACCCTGAGAGACGAAGTCCGCAGTTTATCAAGGGGTTCCCAGTCCAAACGTTCTCATTTTTTCCCCGGTCAGCCCAGGTGATTCCCTATCAGCAAGCAGATACTACATGCCTACAGAGCCACAGATTGAGCAGCTTCGTGGAGAGCCGGGGGCAGCGCTGGGTCCTACAGGAGGTTCCAAATTTTACATCTTCTCCCTGCCCTGGAGGACAAATGAATACACTCACCTTCACTGGGAAAATGCAAAGAGTTCAGGTGTGAGGATGCGGCTGGAGGGCACTGTCTTAATGCACCGAATTCAATAAAGCAGAAGCCCTCCCCTCTAAGAGCTTCCAACCTAATGGAGACGGTACCCTGACACCCAGCTAACCTGCTTCCCTAGTTGGTGTGTGACCCTATCTGAAGAGCTTTTATTCAGAGAACACTGTGTATTCATTCTCACTGTTTGCCCTTGACTTAAAGGGAACAGTCCTGAAAACACCCCAAGGAAGATGGTTAACAAAAATCACCATTCTGGAAGATGATTTTTATTCACCCTCCGGAGCTGTTGACTCTGATGGCCCTGCCCAAGGCAGTAACTACTCTCTGCAACACCAACAGTTTTCCTCTTTGTAGAATGAAATTACAGAAACACCCACGTCACAGGATTCAGCATGTGGATGGACAGGAAATAAGGGTAGAAACCACTCTGATGAGCCTCACAGAGGTCTTTCTGTTCGGGACCCATTGCGATCTTAGAGACTTCACTCATCTCAAAGCAATAGGCTTTATTCAGCCTTCATTTTGGGTGTGCAAACATTTAGCCCCAGATAAATGGAGACCCTATTATCCACATTTCAAAGGGTTTTTAACTTTAAAAGCCTTAAAGCAGATTTTTTTCTGGAAATAGGCTTTTTTTTCTTTTTCCCCCTTTTGAAATGAATTAGCTGCAATTGTAGAATGCTGGGCCTGGAAGTGATTTCAGAGATCTTTTACGTACATACACACTTCCGATTTATAGAAAAGGAAAGAAAAATCAGGCTGTTTCCCCTAAGTCAAGAGCAAATTTTTGGAAGGGCTGGAATCATGTTTTCTGATTCTCAGCCCTGTGAGTTGGTCAACTGAGAACAACAAACACAAGATTTGAATCAGATACAAAGAGAAACTGACTTCAAGGCCATCAGATCGTTCAGTGAGATTTGTTTTTTCATGAATTCTACATTCTATAACTAGCTATTCCGAAAAACAACTACAAGAAATATTGAAGTACCAATATAAAGAGGAACAAAAACCAAGTGCACAATTATTACATGCAGTCACCAGCCCATCAGGTATTTTTAGTCTTATCAAAATCAACACGGCAATAAAATGTCTCCTTGTCCTTCCAACTTCCTTATTAAAAGGCATTAAATTTGTTTTTCTCACACATGGAAAGATAAGGTCGTTAATTGCAGGAACTGCTTATCAGCAAAAATGTAAAATAACAGGAGAGTCATTTGATGGTTTAGCTAAGAAGAAAAAGGAACAGAGGAAGGAAGGAATACAGAATAAAGAAAGGCTCAAGGAATGAACATGAAATCAATCTTCATAATGAATTTAATATCTGTAAATGCAAATATTTCCTAGAAAGTATCCTTTGTATTTTTTAAAAAGGAGATAATGCAAAATATAGAAGTATGAACATATATAAAATGCCAATTAAAACTAAAGGAATAAACTGAGATAGCAGAGGACAGAGGATGGGGTCACAAAGAGTTGGACGTGACTTAGCAACTGACTGTTACAAATGAAAAATGCCTCCCCGACTTCAGGATGGTCCTGGCAAGACTGTGCGTGACTGGAGTGAACATAAGGTATGGGGAAAAGTGACCTCAGAGTCTGCTCCAAGCCTGAGTCTTATAAATCCTGTCAATGACTGGAGTTTGGAGATGTCTTAGGTTGTGAGAAGTTTGTTTCACAGTGGTTAAAATAAAAAAGCTGCACTAGAAAGTAGAAGGTTATCCTCTCACAGAAAGAGAGAAATGAGTCCAATTCTATCCACCTTCACTGCGTTTAGAGCGCTGATGCTAAATGTGCAGTCAGCTCTTGGCTCTCGTGTTTTCTTCCCTGTCAATCAGAACGCTTGCAAAATGGACTTTCAGTATTAAGGGTTAGTCCATAACCTCATTAGAAAAGACCACATCAAGCTTGTGGCATTTAACTTCTATGAATTTACATGTCATAGTCCCAGATTTTTGTTTCCTCTGTAAAATAAGTTAGTGTAAGTCACTTGTATGGATACAAAGGTTTTCAGATTAATTCATCTAAAACATACACACACATCTAATTATTCATAACTCCTAATTTAGAGGAACAGGCAAGATGTTTGGGTATTTGGGGGCCATTATTCTTTTATTGGGCTTCCCCAGAGGCTCAGGGGGTAAAGAATCCATCTGGAATGCAGGAGGCTGCCAGCAATGCAGCAGACCTGGGTTTGATTCTTTTATTATTAACTCTTTTACTTTTTTAAGCAGGAGGGAATATTTTAAATATAATTGGGTGTTGGTGAAGAAGGGTTTAAATTCACAAAGCCTTATGGCTAGAAGCAGCATTTTTTTTGTCCAACAGGACTGTTCTCTATACACCACCTGTCTGTCTAACTCTCCACTTACCAATCTGGAGTAGTTTTCCAAAACCCTTTCAGCTGTAGAATCCTTTAAAAAATCGTGTCTAAAAATGTAACATTAAAAAAAAAAAAAGACACTCTGGCTGTGACTGGGGAGAAACCCACATGGGGGCTCTCTGTACACCACCTGTTTGTCTAATTCTCTACTTACCGATCTGGAGTAGTTTTCCAAAACTTTTTCAGCTGGAGAATCTTTTAAAAAATCATATCTGAAAATGTAACATGAAACAAAGACACTCCGGCCGTGACTGGGCAGAAACCTACATGGGGCGGGTTCTGTCCCACTGTTTGGACAGAGGATGACGGCGGCTGAAGGAATGTGTGACCCTGTGGCAGCGGCTGCAGGCAATCTCAAGGCGAGGTGCTTGCAAGCCAGCCTGGGCAGCAGTCATCAAACAGGCTGCCTCAGCCTTTGCCCAACCAGAAATCATTAATAATTCATTATCATTAATTAATAGAATACACACTCCTCCTTTTTAATGTGTCCTGACCGGAAACATTGTAGCAAAATTAGCAGAATCTCTAAATTATGACTCCTGTTAAACAACCTCCAAATCATAGCTCACGCATAAAAAAGGACATCTTCTGAGTCCATGATGAGTAGAGAAGTTCAGGAAAAATCTATTGTTAGCTATTTATAAAGAAAGTATCTCAGTTTCTGTTCTATACTCTGATGGGAGGGGATGGAGTACTCTTGCTTTATTTGCTTGCATTTTTATTTCAATATAAAGAGCCATATTTTGATGGTTGAATATTCTTATAGTTGGCCAAGTGGTGTTGAATCATGTATTTGAGCCAGTGTTGGCCAGGGACTGTGAGCTCTCAGAGGATGAGACTCACAGCTGCTCGACATCAATTCTCAGCCAACTGCTGTGTGTTTCAGGCACCTAGGGATGAGATGGCCTTGGAGCCAGATTGCTTTCTACTACTTCCTGTTCTTCCTTGTTCTCCCTCTGGTCCCCATTCAGACTTTTTAATAAATGCAAACTATATCCCTCCTTAAAAAAAACCATCTTCAGAACTTTCCTCTTGAGCATCTGTCATACAGGATTGAAATCTCCAGAAAGTGCAGACAATATTTGGGTTTTAGCTAAAATAATTTTAAGAGACTTGGAAGGCATAGGGGCCCCACTAGTTGAACTTCACTGGCAATGTTGCTTTTTTAAAAAATATTGAACCCTGGAACTAGCTCATCAGATCCTTCGAATAAGCTCAGCTGATCAGACTGCAGTTCCAATGACAGCATATTGTACTAAGTGCTGGAAACAGATGAGATAGTGGGTAGACAAGTTACGATTCTCTATGAGAATGGAAGAGTCAGGGTGAGTCTCTGTAAACGCAGGCTCGGCACTCCCTGAAGCCCTTGAAGATTACATTTGATTCCTGGGTGCCTTCTAGATCAGAAAAAATGAAAAATCTATTCTTTAATTGCTATTTCAAGGTAAGGAGTCTTTGTACTTTCAAAAAAAAAAATCCCTTTGAATTCTCACAAGAGAAGTCCTTTGGGATTGGTGCATTAGTCTCAGGCAATCTAGTAATTTTCAGCTGTTGGACAATCAAATCAACCCTAAATGAATGAATCTTTTCACATATCTGTATTGGAAAGAAGGGGGTAAAAGAGGAGAGAGGGTGCAGAGGCCACGGAAATTGAGTATCACATTCTCAGATACAAAAGTCCTTACAGCTTTAAATGAGCGTTTTGCTTGGAACAATTGGCAGTCCATTCACTCATTCACCAGTTTATTCTGTAAATGTTTATTGGGTGCCTGAATATACCAGGCACCTTGCCAGGTGTGGGTTACAACAAAAAGCATCTTCTTTCCTTAAGGGGATATCGGTTAGTGCCATAGACACAGAAGTAAACAGCAAGGACTAGTAATGGACTGGCTGAAGACGCACAAGCTTGTAAGGGACAGCAGAGACGGGAGACCAGACCAAGCCTTGGACGTGAGGGCGGCACTGAGATGAGCTAGGCCAGGGAAGCTGGGTGTTAGTGAGTGGCGGGACGTGAAAAGGGAGCGATACTCAGGCCCTAGAGTTTGAAGAGCCTTGTGTACCAAATGAATTTATCTGACCTTCCTCTGCCTTTGTGTCTCTCGGGACTTGGATATCTCAGTATGGCCCATATCCCAAAACCACAGGATAAACAAGAAATGTCTTCCTGGAGCATTAGTTCTGCTTAATGGTGAGTACTTTAAAATATTTGTTACTAAAGGAATGGAAGGCACAATCTACACACACGTGTAAGATGAATCGTGAGATGCCGAAGACACTTTGTGCTTGTGATGGGGAACCTGAGGTTGTACCTCCAGCCCCACTCTCCTCCCATTAGGGGACATTTATGGAAAAGTTTGCAAAGCACGTTGTCATGGGAGCTACTTAAGTTTAAGCCGACCAATGACAGGAGCCAATCTGCAATTTGGAAAGACCCACGGCTGCGAGGTAGATAATGATTCAGAGAAGGGTGATGGTGAAAGCAAGAAAAGCAGCTAGGAGGCTCTTATAGTCCCCAGTCTGTAACATCACACGACTCTGACTAGCGGAGTAGCAACCGGGATGAGAAAAAGTGATTTGCAAGATCATTTATTGAGTGGCTCTCATGTTTCAGGCGTTATTGCTGGCAGGGAAGAACACAGAAAAGATCCCTGCCTTCTTGAGCTTATAAACTAGTGGAAGAGACAGAAAAAAAAAGACGGTAAATGAGAAATTAACTTCATTGTATAAATTAGTGATGAATTTTGTGAAGGAAATGAAAGTGGGAAATGTGGTATTGTCTTGGGGAGTGAACAAGGTGGTTGGGAAAGGGACTGGGAGAGTGAGTGGGGAAGGAAGGCAAACGTGGTTGAATGACCGTGGCCTACACTGAGACCGGGAACGTACTGAGAAAGGAAGGTCTAAGAGGAAATGATGTTGAGTGCAGTGTGGGAGATCCATGAGCACAGGCCCAGAAGAGAACAGAGAAGGCAGGGCTATCTCTGGCACACCATACTGTAAGCACACACGTGCTCAGAGGCATCCACGCACGTGACGCGTGTACGCACATCCCAGGGGGTCACTCCACACAGAGATGGGGGCATACGGAACCCAAGGGTCAAACCAGCAACAGTGCGAAGTGAAAATGAGGTCCCACAGGCCTCCTGAGGGCTCAGATGAAAGATCGATTCTTCTTTAACAATTAAGAATCATCATCGCGTAGGCAGGAGCGGTGTGCTCCCTCCCACTCTGCAGTGATGGCCAGTGGTTTTATGTTTTTACTCAGCACAGGTGCTGAGCTGCTTTGGTTGGCAGACAGAAACGTTAGGTGCGGGCCTGGGTTGCTCCCCAGACTGCCTGAGATCTCCTTGCGGGTGTGCTCGAGACAGCTCCTCCTCCTCACTGCCCACCAGAACTTCAAAAAGGCTCCGTGGGCCCCCGGGAGACCGCAGGCTCTAATGAGGCCCCCGCCTGGCAGCCCAGGAAGCCTCGGAAATAATGAGGGAGCCTGCTGCTCTTCCCTGCGAGTTCCCTAGAGCCCCAATTACAGAATTTAAAGCCCCAACTTCCAAGGCTGTGTTGACATTGAAAAAAAAAACAAACCCATTTTTCTCCCTGCCCAGACAATGTGAGACAATAAAACCCCAATCTGAAAAAGAAGCAAGCCCAAGGAACTTTGTTCTGGGAAGAAGTGGAAGAACAGTACATAAATCACATTTATTTTTTTTAATCCTCTAACAGCCTTCCTCTGCAGCTGAATGTCTTTCTTCAATAGCTATTGCTTTATAATGTGAGCATTTACATTGACCTTTAAAGTGGCCATTTGGCTGGAGACAGTTTTCTGTGAGGCAGATTAAACTAGGAAAGCATCCATTGGTTTATACTGAAATCCTTTATAATTATAAAAGCCACAGATCTCACTGATTCCAACATCAACATTAACAAACACCCCACCTTCAAGAAAGGAAAAACGTGCCCACGTGAAAGGGCACTTTGAGTACATGGAAGTTTCCGATGCGCAGCTTTAAATAAATCTTTTCACGAGTTCTCCTGTTACGGTAGAGGAAAATGAACGATTTTTTTCCCCATCATGGGGTTAGAGACTAAGAGTGAGCTTAAAAAACAGAGGATGCTGGCCAAAGCCTGGAATGCAGGCTTTCTGGGAGGCTGTTGCTTGCAGTGATCTGGTAAAGCGTTACTCAGGGAATAGAACTATAGAGGCTAGGTCTTGAAAAAGAGACCAGGATATGAGATGGCACACACTTATCCAAAAGCCATATTTCAGAGCTGAATGTGGGCATGTCACTGTCCTTGTTGTTCTGCATTTTCTTCTCACATGTTCCGAGTCTCAGAAGACTTCTGGCACATGACCATGTTTGGAGGCTGTTTCTGAACTCATCCAGGCTGTGGTGCCAGAGACACGAAAAAGCCCCTAATTTTCTAAGTCTAGACATGAGGGGATATCCAGTGACCAAATACATGTGCCCATTTGTTGTTTTATTCCAGGAGAAAAATCAGCTAGGTTCCATGAATACACTTCTTTAGTCAACTTTCCAAACCAAAGAGCTGTGTGTATTTGGCAGCCATATTTTAAAGAATAAGCTGAAACCCAATCAGGCAAATTATTGAGGATTCCTGTGTGTTAGCATCATCTTAATCTGGCACTTTAGTTTTAATTTAAGAACTCCATAATATGACATTTTCAATTTAAAGAGATGATGGAATTGAAATTAAGAAAAATTATGTCACTTAACAGAGGCAGGAAGAATATTTCAATTTGAGATTCTTTAAAGACTCTTTTGTTCTTACTAGGCTCTCCATCTCCTCAGAGAAAGCCATAAAAGAAGATAAATTAATGAGAAGAAGACCTACAGGAAGAAGGCGGTGTTCTGTGTTGGGAGGCCTGACCACCATCAGGAGCAGAAAGGAACCCACCCATGGGTTGGCTGTGGCCTCAGTGAGTTCTGAGCTGCTAGGACCCTGGCTTCAATCCCGCAAGTTCAAAGTTTAATCTGATCTTCATCCCCAAACTGATCCAGCTAGAATATATTTTTCTCCCTCTCTCAAACATCACAAAAGTATATTTAAAATCAAGACAATCTTTAAGTTTCTAGAATGAGAACTATAACACCCAAGTGAAATGAACAATCACATTATCCTTCCTGGCACATTCTCTTCCCAGAGATAAGCTTTATGAGATGCCAAATTATGACTGGAACCAGCAAGGTTTTGTAGAGTATTCGAAAATCTACCACATCAGAGTCTGATAGCCATGCACACAACTGGGGATGGATTCCTTGGGCCAGCTAATCAATTGGTCTTCATTACCGGACCAAGATCTTCATCAGCCTTGAATATTTAGATTTAACTTGCCAATGTTTGTCTCTTGGTGTTCTCTTTTTCCCAAGACCTCTATGGCTAACTAATTTCTTTCTAATTTATTAATTAGCACAATTAATTAGGCTATTGACGATCCTTGAGACCAGGAACCCATTTTTATTTTTATTTCTTTTCTAGGTTTCTTGAAAGAGGTTTATGTTTAGCCATTCAACAGACAAAGAATAGCCATTAATTTTATTCACATCTAGCCTCCTACACCTATCTTTGGAGAAAAGAACCTTTTGAGAGTTTCAGCTGTATCTGGGACCAAAGGAAGTCCAGTTTTCACCAGGTTGACATAGTAAATCTCATAATAAGGTAACAGTGATTCTACACACAAAAGGTATAGTTCATTTGGCACAACTGTCCTTTAACCTGATGCCTCATTAGGAGATTTCAAGCAGCTCATTTGCAGCATAAAACCATCATTCTGGAGAAAATTTCTTCATGAGTAATTATACAAAAATTAAATAAACATGCTGCCACCAAGTAAATCCGTTAAATTGTACTCTCACTATATCAGGGCCTCGATTCAATTGTCATCTGTCTGTAAATATTAGAGAAGAATTGGCCATCACTTTCAGAAGATAATGACAGGCAGTTTTCCAGATGTAATTACTCAAAGACAGAACAGCATTGTGTGGGCCGCAAATGCTGACACAAAGGCTATAGTCTGTGACTGAGGTGAAGTAAGGGCATGGAAGAGGAAATACTACTGTTACGCCCATTACAAATATCAGGAAAAGACTGGGAGAAGACAGCGCTGCTGAGTTAATGAAGGTGACATTCCCACACGTAACTACAATCCCAGTCACAGAGAGACATTCTTCAGCGGCAAACATCATCAGAACCTATCAAATTTCCATCAGGCTAATGCGATAAATATCGCAGAGGAAAGACGGATGAGAGATAATTACTTAGAGCAGACCAGAACTTTTCCAGAGAAGAGACAAGGATGTCATGGAACCAAATACGGCAGTTTTTCAGTTCGGAGGAAATAGAAGAAGGACAGATTCAGCGTGAATGAATGGGATGGCGACTGGGAGAGCTGGACTCAGAGGTGGAGGAGGCGCTGGGCGCTTGGGCTTCCAAGGAGCAGGAAGGAGCCCTGCCCCCAGAACAGCTCTGCTCCTCCCGTGCTGCCAGGGAAATTCCCCCGGAGCAGCTTCAATTCACATTCCAAATGCCATTGGGAACCAAAGAACATCAAGTGACTGCCAACTCTTTACTTTTTAGTGGGAAATAATTTCACAACACTTATTGCACAAGCTTTTATTTATATACCAGGCCCTCTAATAGATGTGAGGGATACATGATGGAAATAATATAAGTAATATGGATAGGATTCCTTGTCCAATGGATCTTAAGTTCTAGCTGAGAGGATGACCATTGACCAGATAGCCCCCAAATGGGTACTTAATTGCAGCTGGAGATAAAAGCTATGCAGGAAAGAAAGCTGAGCCCTGAAGTGCATATGACCTCATCTAAGCTGGAATTTTGGGGGAGTTCCCTGAGGAAGTGTGATCACCGGGCTGACTACTGAAGGCTGGACAGAAGACAATCAGATGAAGAAAAGAGTAGAAAATCATTTTGGGCAAAACAACAGTATGTTCAATGCCCATAAATGGAATATCATTCAGTTCTAAAAATGGATAAAGCCACTTTGGCTGATACATGCCAAAGTGGATGAACCTTGAAAATGTTATGCTGAGTGAGAGAAGTCAGACACAAAGGCCATATATTGTATGATTCCATTTATATGAAATATCCCCAATAAGGAAATTCACAAACAGAAATCAGATTAGTGGCAGGCTGGGTCTGAGAGCAGGAAATAATGAAGAATGTCTCTTTAATAGGCCTGGAGTTTCCTTTGAGAGTAATGGGATTGTTCTGGAACTTGACAGTGATGATGGTCATGCAATATTGTGAATCCACTAAAATGTCACTGAGTTATCTACTTTAAAATGGCTAAAATGATGAACTGAAGCTGGTGGTGGATCAGTCGCTAAGTCGTGTCCAACTCTTGCGAGCCCATGGACTGTAGCCCACCAGGCTCCTCTGTCCATGGGATTCTCCAGGCAAGAATACTGGAGTGGGTTGCCATTTCCTTCTCCAGTATAACAGCATATGTAGCATATATTTATGATATTAAAAAATGACAATGTTGGGAATTTTTAATGGATTGTTGTTGGTATTGTTTAGTTGCTAAGTAGCGTCCCAACTTTTTTGTGACCCCATGGACTGTAGCCTGCCAGACTCCTCCATCCATGGGATTTTCCAGGCAACAGTACTGGAGTGGGTTGCCATTCCTTCTCTGGTGAACTGTAAGTTATGTGTATTTTAGCACAATTCTTTAAAAAAAAGAAGAGTATGTTCAAAGGCTCTCCCCCTGCAGGAATGAGCGTAATCCCTCCCTGGAACTGAAAGATGAATGGATGGCGGGAGTGAAAGCAAGACCACAGGGACAGGGGGCTGGAGAGTTGGGCTGGGACCGGAGCATGCAGGGCATGGAGACCGTGTCAGACTGTGGCCTTTATCATAGGGGAATGGCACTTAAAGTGGGGAAGGGCATCATCACACAGACGTACATTTCAGAAGATAACCATGTATCCGCTTAAGAGTGAGCTTCCACAGCTTGAAAGTAAAATGTGGTAGAAGTCAGGACAGAGGAAGGGTACTCTATACAAGTCAAAGGGTGCCTCCTTCCCAATGTCTATAGCATGGATTCCACCCACACCTGCTACATAGACCTGTAGAGAAGTTTCAGATTATCACAACACCTGAGGACATTTCAGAGCAAGGTAAAGCAGAAAGCGATGCTGAGTGTTATCACTGGGGCTTAAGTGTATTGTGGTCCATTCTCTTAATAAGGGAAAGCAGAAGAGTGGATCAGCAGACAGTTCATGGGGTTTTAAGATAAAGAGCTCAGTAGGTGCTCAGTTGGTTCAGTCTTGTCCGACTCTTTGTGAAACTACAGACCTGTAGCCCACCACGTTCCTCTGTCCATGGGATTTCCCAAGCGAGAATACTGGAGTGGGTCACCATGCCCTCCTCCAGGGGATCTTCTCCACCCAGGGATCCAACCAGGGTCTCCTGCGTCTTCTGCATCGCCGGGAAGCCTGGCGCTCAGCAGAGAGAGAGGTTTATAGGACTTCAGGATGAGGCAGGACGAGGAGACCTCAGAGAGGCTGGGATGGTCAGTGAGAGCAGTGATATGATTTTGGTTTTCTAGAGTTACTTAAGTCTCTTGAAGATGGGCCAGAACGTCTGGGCTCTAGATCATTTGTGGAATGCTGTAGTCTGGCCAGATAATGAGCACCATCCTCTTAGCATCAACCATGGCACTGATTGTGATGGGAATGGTACTGATTGTGTCTATGTCTCAGTATCAGAAAGGTGCTCTAAGAGTCAATATGCTAACTGATTTTGAAATGGTAGGGTTGCTAAAAGGGCAAATACAGCATTGTGAACATATGTTTCATTCATTTGTTCCTTTTGTTACTTTCTCATTCAGCAGGGTTTTTGTTTGTTTAGCATTGCCTATGGTATGGTGCTCTGCTAGGCATAGATTTATAAGACTACTAAATAACTAAAATTAGATCATCTTATATGAAAACTAAGAAATTATCAATAAAATATTACAACAAGCTACATAAAAAAAGCTTTCCATTTAGATCACAGGTCAGAGCCGAGGCCCTCTTATTTGCTTTCTTGTTTTCTATGTTATAGATGTATGGATGTGAGAGTTGGACCAGAAAGAAGGCTAAGCACCAAAGAACTGATTCTTTTGAACTGTGGTGTTGGAGAAGACTCCTGAGAGTCCCTTGGACTGCAAGGAGATCCAACCAGTCCATCCTAAAGGAGATCAGTCCTGGGTGTTCATTGGAAGGACTGAT